GTGCCTTTGTGGAAGTCCAGAAATCCAGCAGAGAAGTTCTAGCACACTGTTAGAGCAAATCAATCAATCAATAAATACTCTGAAAAAAATTAAGTTCCAAGTTTGGACACATTAAAGGGGATAAGAGGAATAATTTCACTTTGCCTGCCTTGCTCCACCCCAAGGCCACACAGCACTGCCAAGAGAGATGTTCTTGGCCATGACTTTTCCCAGGGAAGAAAGTGAACATGTGATTGAGAAGCCAGCTTCTCCAGTAGTACATGACACTGCCCAAAGAGGCCCACTTTTATCTTGCTCTATCTGGAACTGAGGTGTTCTGCATAAGTGGAACAGGGAGGGGCTGGGAGATGATCAGCCAGGGTTGTCAGTGAGCATCAAACAGACTTGGATATTACTAATCCTTTTGTGGATTCCATCAGGAAGTCCACCCATGAGCCTCTAGGGATGCTCCATCTGCAGATTCCCCTAACAGTCAGTAAAGAGTGGAGGTGGAAACTGTTTCTTTAAATGTGAAGACAATGCAAGATTTCAAGTAATGTGAAAAATTAAGGAAACATGACTCCATCAAAGGAAAACTGTAATTTTCCAGTAACCAAGCCCAAAGGAAAGGTGATCTGTGATTTTCTTAATAAAAAAATCAAAATGAAGGGCGCCTGGGTGGCTCAGTGGGTTAAAAAAAATCAAAATGATTACTTTAAAAAGGCTCGGTGAGCTTCAGGAAAACAACACAAGAACAAAATGAGTTTAATAGTGAAATAGAAATCATAAAAAAGAACCAAACAAAATTCTGGAGCTGAAGAACGCAATGAATAGAATTTTTTTAAAAATGCAAAAAAAAAAAAAGAACATCAGCAGCAGATTTGATCAAGCAGGGAAAAGAATCTGTGAGGTAGAAAACAAGTCATTTGAAATTATCCAGTAAGAAAAAAACAAAGAAAAAGAATGAAGATGAGTGAAAAAGGCCTATGTGAAGAATGTGAATAATATGTGAATAATGTAGGTAACATTGGAGTCCCAAAATGAGAAGAGAGGGAGAAAGAGACAGAAAGTGGCACAAAGCTTATTCAAGGAAATAATGACTGAGAACTTCCCAGATCTGGGAAGAGACTTGGACATTCATCCCCAGAAAGTTTCAACACAAAAAGATCTTTAAGACACATTATAATAAAACTGTTTAAAATCAAAGAGAGAATTTCAAAAGCAATAAAAGAAAAAAAAATTCCTCACATGCAAGGGAACACCCATACGGTAATTAGCAGATTTTTCAGCATAAATCTTGCAGGACAGGAGAGAATGGGATGATACATTTAGGTGTCAAAAGAAAAAAAAAAAAAAAGAACTGCCAACCAAGAATACTTTACCTGGCAAAGTGGTCCTTCAGAAATGAAAGCAAGCTAAAGACCTCAAACAAACAAAAGCTGAGGGACCTCATCACCTTTTGATTTGCCTTACAAGAAATGCTGAAAGGAGTTCTTCAAGCAGAAATGAAAGGATGTTATTTAGTAATATGAAAACATATGAAAATATAAAACACAATGGTAAATGTAAATAAAGATTTAAATTCAGAACACTCTAATACTATAATATTATGGTATGTTAATCACTTAACTTTAGTATAAAAATTAAAGGACAAAGGCATTAAAAATAACTATAGCAGGGCGCCTGGGTGGCTCAGAGGGTTAAAGCCTCTGCCTTCGGCTCAGGTCATGATCCCAGGGTCCTGGGATCGAGCCCCGCATCGGGCTCTCTCCTTGGTGGGGAGCCTGCTTCCTTCTCTCTCTCTCTCTGTCTGCCTCTCTGCCTACTTGCGATCTCTCTCTGTCGGATGAATAAATAAAATCTTAAAAAAAAATAACTATAGCTACAAGAATTTGTTAATGGACACATAGAGAAAAATGTAAATTGTGACATTAAAAACATAATATGGGGAAAATAAAAGGGTAGCGTTTTTGTATATGGCCTAAGTTAAGTTGTTATTGGCTTAAAATGGACTGTTTAACCACAGCATGTTTTATAGAAGCCTGTAGTAACCACAAAACAAAACCTTATAGTAGTTACACAAAAGATAAAAAGAAGGGAATCAATGCCTATTACTACTGAAAATTATCAATTCAAAAGGAATACAGCAAAGGAGGAACAAAGGAAGAAAGAAACTGCAAACAAGCCAAAAAATGATTGTATTAGGAAGTCCTTACCTATCAATAATTACTTTAAATTTAAATTTAAATGGATTAAATTCTCTAGTCAAAAGACAGAGTAGCTAAAAGGATTAAAAAGACAAACAAAAACAAAGTAAAACAAAATGAAATAAGACCCAGTTATATGCTGCCTGCAACAGACTCATTTCTGCTTTAAGAACACATACAGGCTCAAAATCAAGGGATGGAAAATGTATTCTGTGCAAATGGAAACCAAGAGAGAACAGGGATAGCTATACTTATATTAGTCAAATAGACTTAACTCAAAAGCTATAACAGACACAAAGCAGGTCATTATACAATGATAAAGGAGCCAATGCATCAAAAGGATATAAAATTTGTAAATTATATGTACCAACATTGGGACACCCAAGTATATAAAGCAAATACTAATAGATCTGAACAGAGAAATAGACAACAATGAAATAATAATAATATATTTCAGTGCCCCACTTTCAACAATGGATAGATGATCCAGACAGAAAACATAGAACTTGAACTATAGTTAAGACCCTATGTATATAACAGACTTGTAGAATATTCCATCTAATAGCAGTAGAATATACATTCTTCTCAACTGTGCACAGATCATTCTCCAAGATAGATCAAATATTAGGTCACAAGACAAGTGAAATTAGCCAGAGAGATAAAGACAAATACTGTAAGATCTTACTTATATGTAGGATCCAGGGGAAAAAGAAATCAAGTTCATATAAACAAAGAGTAAAATGATTACAAAGGGCTGGGAGATGGGGAAAATGGGAAATGCTGGTCAAAGGGTACAAGCCTTCAGTTATAAGATATTGAATAAATTCTGGGGATCTAATGTGCTGTATAGTGACTACAGGTAATAATACATTCTCAAAAACATTGCTTATGAGTGTTTTTTAAGGGACGCCTGGGTGGCTCAGTTGGTTGGACGACTGCCTTCGGCTCAGGTCATGATCCCGGAGTCCCGGGATCGAGTCCCGCATCTGGCTCCCAGCTCCATGGGGAGTCTGCTTCTCCCTCTGACCTTCTCCTTGCTCATGCTTCCTCTCACTGTCTCTCTCTCAAATAAATAAATAAAATCTTTAAAAAAAAGTGTTTTTTAAACACTTCTCTGCATGTATTACAAATTGGCAGTCATAGCCATTCACTGACATAACACTCTTAATGTAGCAAGGGAATAGCATTCTTAGAAACATCTTTTTTCACAAGTGTTCTTGAAACATTTCTGTACATGCATACAGAATGTACTTGACATTTTCTAAGAGAGTAGACCTCCTCACCATACACAAACAAAAGAAGTCACTATGGGAGGTGATGGATGTGTTCATAACCTGATTATGGTAATCACTTAGCAAAGGTTAAGTATGTCAAATTGTCAATTTGTACACTTTAAACATATATAATTTTATTTGTTAGTTATACCTCAATAAAGCTGGAAAATATTTTTTATTATATTAAAGCAAAAAGTCTTTTTTAAAAAATCAGGAATTGGAGGGGCCCCTGGGTGGCTCAGTAGGTTAAAGCCTCTGCCTTGGGCTCAGGTCATGATCCCAGAGTCCTGGGATCAAGCCTGCTTTCTCCTCTCTCTCTGCTTGCCTCTCTGCCTACTTGTGATCTCTGTCTGTCAAATAAATACATAAAATCTTTTAAAAAATCAGGAATTGGAGTTCACTCATCGCTATTAAAAATTACTGTTCAATATTTACAGTGAGCCCTATACTAATTGCTTTATGTGTCTGATCCCACTGAATCCTCACAACTCTGTAAATCAGGTACTATAATCACAATTATGCAGATTAGGAAATAATATTTTGGAAGTTAAAAAAAAAAAACTTTCAAGTACTATGTTTGAGAGTGGTTACTGAGTTTCAGATACCTGATCTGAAATAATATTCTGTACTCTTTCCTTTTGAGGAATTTATGGGCAGTTATACCTTTGTCTCCTTTGACTTCCTATTATAATGAACTATAGTAATTAAATTTCTATTAGTTTTTTTCTTTAAATTCCTGCAATTGGCCATCCAACTGCTTTCTATGTAGTATGGAATCAACTTGGTAGCACTTCTTTATAATATATTACATTATATACATATATGCTTCCTCTGCATTTATTTTAGAAACAAGAATTAAAATATATTTACACTGATGATCTTAGTTTTCTCACCTCAGATTCTTTAGTCACACTGCAATCTGCTCTTTTTGCTACATCAGTCAAATTAAACTGGATTTGTCAATATTGTCAGCGACCTCCATGCCACCTGTCAAATTTAATTGTCAAGTTTCAGTCTCTTTCAGCAACCTTTGAGTTGCTACCAAGTTTTCCTTCTTCATTACAGTCTGTCCCTTTCTCTTGTTTTTTGTTTGTTTGTTTTCTGGATTATTTTCCCTTTCTTATGTCCAAATGTTAAACTTCTCTAAGATTCAGTGCTTGGACTCTAAAATTATACTCTTTCTAGATGATCTTATCTAGTCTTGTGGCTTTAAATGTCATCTACATGCTAATGATATCTGTGCAGGTAAAACTTGGTTCTCTTCCTGGGTTTCCCCTCTACTCACACGTGATTACCATACTCACATTTCTAACATCAGATGTGGGTATGTGTGGGATTTTCCACACCAAGCAATTCTGTAATACCATCTGGGTGTTCTACAACTCAAATCAATTCTGAAATTATCTTTCTGGAGATAGTGTCAGATCCCACCAGTTAAGGGCTCAGTGCCACAGACTGTGCTCCACCCCCATGCACTTCAAATGCCAATTGCCATCCAGGTTGTTACCTGTACTGACTGTTTATAAATTGGAGGTTTCCGATGACCCTCTCCTCAGGTTTGATTAATTTGTTAGAGAGGCCCAAAGAACCCAGGAAAACAGTTTACCTACTATTTATCAGTTTATTATAGAAGGATATGATAAGGGCTACAGATGAATATTCAAATGGAAGAGATGCATAGGATAAGGTATTTGGGAACGGGCGTGGAGCTTCCATGGTCTCTCCAGTATGCCACTCTCCCAGCATTTCCATGTGTTCACCAACCAGAAAGCTCTCCTAACCCCATACTTTTGGGATTTTTATGGAAACTTCATCATTCAGGCATGATCAATCATTTCTAGCCCTTCTCTCCTCTGAAGAGTGGGGGGGAGGCTGAAAATTTCAGGCTTCTAATCATAGCTTGGTCTTTCTGGTGACCAGCTCCCATCCAGGAGCCCACCTAGAATAATCTCATTAGAACAAAAGACACTGTTACCAAGAAATTTAAGAACCCTGTGTCAGGAACTGGGGCCAATGATCAAATATCAGAAAAAAAGATACTCCTAGAGCTCCTATGACTTAGAATATTATAAGGGTTCTAGGAGTTTTGTGTCAAGAATTGGGGACAGAGACCAATATATGTATTTTCTATTATCTCACAATATTATTTCCAGTTTTGGCTTATCTCCTGAACTTCAGGCTTGTTTATCTAATTAACTTTTTGATTCATACATGTGGGTAACTAATAAAACTCAAAATTGACATAATGAAATGAAACTAAGATGATTATCCATCTTAGTCACTAAAAATAAGAAAAAGATGTATTTTTACTTCATTCTTACTGTTTCCAACACTTATACATTCCTTCTGTTTTCATACCCTTGCCTGAAGAATTTTCTTAAACATATTATATAGCTCAGATAAAGCTAACAAAGAATAAAATTTTGCTTGTCTGAAGTGGTTTTCTATTTCATTTTCATTTTTGAAGGATATTTTATTTATATTTTATAGGATCCTGTATTGCTATATTTTTTTAGTACTGGAAAATGTTACTCCATTGTCTTTTTGAATGGCCTATTTTCTGCTGTTGCTCTTATATTTGTTCCTTTGTATATAACTTTTTCCCAGGGACAGATTTAAAGATTTTGTATTTATCTTTGATTTTTAGCAGTTTTACTATTTGTCTGTCTCTTTGATATTTATCATTTTTTTTGAGCTTCTTTGATTCTTGTTTAATGTATTTTGTTAATTTTGGAAAATTCTTGATCATTTTCTCTTCAAATATTTCTTCTGCCCATTTTATCTTTACCTTATAAAAATCTTATAAGATTCTCCACCAACTTGGAGAAAGAGAAACAGATTCTTCAAATCTGATTATACCTACAGTCCTCAGTTTGAATATGCAAACCCATCTCTGCCAAGTGTGTTAGCCAAACACAGCAATGTCTCAGACCGATTTCTTAAACAGTCCATCAATATTATGGAACTGACTTTACAGAAATATGGAAGTTATGAAAAGTTTGAGCAGGCCACTGGTGGCAGCCTGCTATCTAAAACTCGAATCTGGAGTCATGTTCGGAAGTACATGATGAAAGAAGGCTGCCTGGGTGAGATTGTAGTTCATCTCACTGAAGATCTGCTTTCCCGAGCTTCAATGACAGTGGTAAAGGGTGCCCAACACTGACCATTAATGTTTCCACAGCACGTGAGCACTGGCTGGAGGGAATGCTGAGGCTTGAAATAGGCACACATTATTTTCAAGGTATTAACCTTCAGCAGCCATGGAACAGTTGGACTGGCCGTAAAAAACATGAGCTAAAGCCAAACAATACCACAGAGGAAGGACTGGCAGGTATTCACAGCGTCCTTTTTAGAAAAGACCCCTTTTTATGGAGGGCGGGCCTCCTCTACTACACTGTTTATCGAGCCAGCCAAATGTCTTTTTGCGAACTCTTCAAAGATATTGGAAAGTTTGTCAAGGACCCCAATACAAGATGGGATTATTGTGTACGAGCCAAGAGGGGATGGACTGATACTTCTCAACCAGGCTGCTTTAGTAAAGACCAGGTATACTTGGATGGGATCCTGCAAATTCACCGGTACAGAGAGACCATTGACTTTCATCTACTGACTGCCCTGGGCAAGGTGAGTGAGACCAGTGGCATGTAGTCTAGAATACACCAGGTCATCATTTCCTTAGGCTTGGTTTAAGGATTAAATAAGATTCAGATTCCAGTGGTTACTGTTAGTTACTGCCAGATGTCTCCCTCATAAAAGGTACCTTTCTTTTTTATATTAAGTAATCTGTGGGGTAATACCTAAGAATGTACTGTTCTTTAACAACCTTTCAAGGAATGGTTTTAACATCCATTGGTGATCTTTGCCCATATCAGTTAACTATACTAGTGTCGCAAAATAGAGATCTTCAAATTGTTACATTTCACTCCCCCTTTTAACAGTATTATTATGGACTTAAGTGCTTTTTTATTCATCCCTTCCAGTGGCTGCTCCTGTGTTTTTAAAAACATGCCACCCTGTTTTCTGGCAAAGTAAAATATTCTGGGTCCATCTTATCCAAATCTCAGACAAGATATTTCTCTGAGGAAGGCTGGATTCCTTTAAGTGAAAATGGTATTTAGAAAACAAGTACTAGGTGTGCTTATTACTTCTGGAATGTTGATGCTTCTGTGTCTTTCCAGTGAGCAAATCATGTATTTGTTTTAAATCATTGGGTGTTCTAATTCACATCGCACACTGCAAGGTTTTTACATCTTTCTTCCCATTCCATATGTGTGTCTCCCTTTTCTTCAAATGAAAATTGTGTTCACCAACTGCAGTATTATATCTATTATGTTTACTCATTCTTTCCTATAATAAACTCAGGATGGAGCGCCTGGGTGGTTCAGTAGGTTAAAGCCTCTGCCTTCGGCTCAGGTCATGATCCCAGAGTCCTGGGATTGAGCCCCGCATCAGGCTTTCTGCTCTGTGGAGAGCCTGCTTCCTCCTCTCTCTGCCTATCTCCCTGCCTTCTTGTGATCTCTCTCTCTGTGTCAAATAAATAAATAAAATCTTAAAAAAAAAATTAAAATTAAATTAAATAAAATTAAAAATAATTAATTCCATGTATATTTGCTCATTAAATATTATCCAAGAGCTCTTGGGTGATCTGTCTTTTTTCACTTTTTTCCCTTTGTGTTTCAGTTTGAATATTTAAAAAGAATGTATATTTACTTACTTCCTAGGTCACTGATTCTTTTATCACCTATAGTAAATCTACTGAGGAACTCATCTAAAGAATTCTTTATCTCTGTTATTGTGTGTGTGTGTGTGTGTGTGTGCGTGTGTGTGTGTGTCTTTATTTATAATATTTTCATTCGACTGTCATTTCTCTCCTGATTTTTTCCATATGTTTATATGTTTTCCACATTTTCCACTAAGCCTCCAACATATTAATTGAAATTATTTTTAAATTCTCTGATTGAGCATCCCAGCATTTGATTCATCTTTGAATCTAGTTGTATTGATTGCTTTAGTTCTTGACAATGAGGTGGGGTGGGGGAGGTTTGTTTTTATTTAATTAAAAAAAATTTTTTTCTTTTACTTCATTTTGTGTCTCATAATTTTTTGTTGACTCCTGAAAATGATATAGTAAATACTGGGGTAACTTGTATCCATGCCTGGAAGTGGGCATAACTCTAGCTATCATACTGTTTGTGTGGAGGTATGATTTATTTTGGTCAGGAATTGACCTATCTTTGGGTATTATTGTTGCTATTATTATCTCTAGTGTACCACTGAGTTCAAAGTTTTCTAACAGTGGTTTTCTATTGTCTTATGGTTGGGTCGGAGGCTAAAATACCAGGGAGGTTTTGTTTGTTTGTTTATTTTTTATCAGCACTCCTTCTTCACCATCAGTTTTCAATCATCCTTGCATGTCTGAACCACATAGGGTTCTTCTCAAGCTCCTTCTCTTCTCTTAGCAGTAGACATATATTGCTTGTTACTCAGTACTAGGTTCATGCTAGGGACAGGACTGTCCTCTGTCATCCTGGTCCAATCTCAGGCTTACCTCAACTTTAGTCTTGCTGTACTTGGATCTCAGGTTTAAGGATTTCTCAGTGTCTCTGCCAATCTTCTCTATGGTAGAAAGTCTCTGCCTTTACTTGTAGTTGATTTTGGAATGGAGAGAATGTATTGTTACTGCCCCACTGGCAAAAGACCTCTGCATAGTATTGGTGTAGGATCCTAAGCCAGGAATGATTTGCTGTCCTTTTTTCAGAGGTAGAGGATTTATCTTATATATATAAGATATATATATATATATATATATATATATATATATATATGATATAAGATAAGATATATATTATATATTTCTCCAAGCAGCAATGCTTTCTCCTAGCATTTCTCTCCAATTTTTCTCTAAGGATTTCAATGTGTCCTATGGTTGGAAAGGTTTCTAGCTTCTCCCCAAAAGACGTCCTCTGTACATTGTTTCTATGTCATTTATTTCATTACAGCAATCTGGTACCATTAGCTCAAAAGTCTGCTAGGACCAAACTCAAATTTTTACAGAAGCTGCTAAAAAATACAGTCCAAATCAGCATATTTTTAGTGATTTAAAGCCTGTCTGCTTTACATACCCTGCAAAATTACATTCAAAATCTTCTAGCCATGGATAAGACAAACACTGGGATTATAAAAGATGCCAAGCTACTGCTGTCCTTTGGAATTCTTTGACCCACAGACTCTCCAGTGTGCTGCTCAATGATATCACCCATAGGTCTCCTCACTAATTTTCCCCTCTCTCAAGAATTTCCTTGCCCTTTTCCTCTTCTAAGTGGTGGTCCTAGGCCATTGTCTCTGGAAGCTCTCACACTGTGAGGTACTAACCCAACCTTACCACATTAAGATCTATCAAGAAGCCAACTAAATAAAGCTAATTGTTTGTCAGTTACCTTGTAATCATATACTTCTCCTTAATCAGCCCCTGATAAACTCACTACAAGTGGGAATGTGGACCAAGTCATTTTTAGTGATGATCAAGGAATTCATATGGTATATGACAAGTCAGTAAAACAACCACTTGGCAAGCTGATCCTGGAGATCCTTAAGCTATTAGGGCTCCAAATTTGGGATCCTTATGTGTTAGTGTGGTGTGTTATACTCTATATTGTTTATGGTCTCCTCTTGTGCCTTATTAGCCTGACCAAGCAGTAACACCAGTATTTGAGTGAACCCACATTATAAAAACTGACTGGGGATGGGAACAGAAGCAATGAATTGTCTAGGGAAAGTGGTCAGGCCTCCTGCATAGGTTCCCCACTGGGCAGGTGCTAGATGTTCTAAGACTTGTCGGCATTGAATAGGAAAGGGGAGATTGCAGGCCAGTAGAGCAAGGATGGACCATCAGTCACCCCATTATAGGCTATGGTGGCAGGAATTCCTCATAGCCAAGTCAGAGATTTGGGGTACTCTGAAATGAGAGGATGTTCTCATTCCTGGGGACTCATATGTAGGTAAACAAGTCAATAAGGTACAGATAGAAGCTGAAGCCAGTCTCCTAAATATGGTTGGAAGAGTAGCCTTTGCAAGCCTCTGTGATATTTAGTTATGCTGTCATGATGTCATCATTATAGCTTCTCTGCACAAGGATGTGGACACCTGGCCCTAACACTTGGGCTGAGCTAGCTAAAGTGTTACTTTAAGTGTAAGTGAATATAGACAGGGAAATTTATATCCCTGTCTATCCCAGGACTCCAAAGGGATAGTTGTTCTGCTGAATGGTTCAAACCATAAGACATGTACTACACCTTGCTTGTGGCAGCTTGTCACAGGAAGCCACTCGGAAGAGGTAGGAGCCCAAAGTCCTAGCAGAGATGATAAGGGTGGCAAGACTGTTCGAAAAAGTACTGGTGATCTTTAGATGAAAAAGCAACACAGTGTCACCCTGACAGTGTCTGGGGATAATTTACCCTCTGCTATGTCAGTAACCATGCACAGCATACTAAAGACTGAAAAGACAAAAGTAAAGGGCCAAGATGGAGGGGAATGTTCTAGCTTGGAGGAGGACACACAGCCTCTGTCTCTTACCCTGGTGCCCAATCTCTCCTTAAGGAGCTGAATCAGGAAATAAATAAATAAAGGGGGGCTACCTGGCTATGTAGACTGTATCTGGTGGAGAGTAAGCTCCATCTAACAGGGTCTGAATTTTAACAATCAGATGTTATAGTATTGGGTGTAAAAAAAAATGTGGTGTTCTTACTAAAGAATCTTGCACAATTAGTTCAGAAGGTGGGCTGACCCACAAAGATGACTTTAGATGCAGGTCCATCTATCTTGCTGATATGAATTTTTATGGCTTTGAAATCCACTCAGCCTACATTAGGTTTCATAATGACCTGGACAGATAGTCAAAGGAAAATGTTAACTGAGACTAAAGATATTCCCCACCAGTTGAGGATTTTGGAGTGAGCTTATCAGGCAACAGATGGTGTTGTAGCATGATGACTGGGCATATCCAAGAAGGCTAAAGTGAGTCCTGCATCCATCTAGTCATTTATTCTAAGGGGGCTTCTAAGAAACAAATTATTTTATAGGCAATGATGGCTAATGCTAAAACATTAAAAGGAGATAGACACCCTGGACTTAAAAGAAGAAAAGAAGTTCAGATAGCCATGTCCCATCTGCTGTCCACACAAATTAAACAAATCGGCCAAGAACTGGAACTCATGGCTGAATCTTATCGTACTTTAGGGCCCATGGTGTTAAATAACAACGTAGCCTTACATTACTTACTGATAAAGATGGAGAGGGATATTTTGTGCATTTGATAATATATCTGCCTGTAGATAACTCTTGCCACATTTTACAGAGAGCCAGAGACATGTACCAAAAGGGCCATAATGTTACTCTATTGCTAGATGATTAAACAAATCAAAGTCTTTTTTTCCAATCTACTCTTCAGATTTCCATCACTGAATGGGCAGACCAGCTGCAAACAGACTTTGAAATCCTAATTTGTAGACTTACAGAATTCTGGATCATTAAAATACTTCATGGCTGGCTCCAAACTCAGGCTTTATGAAATAAAATACAACGTGGACTATAAAACAACGTGGTATTAAGAGATAGTTTGTTATATAAATGTGCCCCCAAGTGGTCTCTATATACTGTTCCCATGATTACTTCACGCCAGGCTGGGATCACTATCTCAAAAGCCTACCAGAGCTAAACTCAAATTTTTACTGATCCAATTGCTTTACCTATAACCCAAATAAGCATATTTTTAGCCATTTAGAACCTGCTTTTGCATAGTCCATGAAACTGCAACCAACATCTGCTAGACACAGATAAAACAGACCTTGGAACTATAAAACTCCCCAAGCTGTGGAATTCTCTGACCCAGAGATTCCTCATCATCCTAGACGCAATCTCCCTCCCTGTCTCCCCAGTTCTCCTTCTGAGGGGTGATCCCATGCCATTCATTGTCTCTGGAAGGTCTCATGCTACAAGGGAAGTTCCCTCCTCATACTAACTTATGCTATCACCTCATGGTTGTGTTTTTCCTTAATCAAACCCCAACTCCCTGAACTCATAAGAAGAGAGGAAGGTCTGGGGAAACAGATAGAAATTTCTACACTCCTTCCTCCCCAGCAGGCACCTATCATCTCTACATGCCTGTGTCACCAAGGATTCTTTGGTTCCCTGCCCTGCCCCTCTATTGGTTTCCTAGGGCTTCTGTAGCCATGTACCACAAATCAAGTGGCTTAAAACATGAGAAGGGTAACCCAAGGTGTCAGCAGAGCTATGCTCCCTCTGAGACTGGCTGGAATCCTTCCTTGCCTCTTTCGGGCATCTGGTCATTGCTGTCCGTCCTTAGCCTTCCTTCACTTGCAGCGATTCCTGCCTCTGTTGTTACCTGGTGTTCTCTGTTCATCTTCCCTCTCTTCCTGAGGAAACTAGTCATTGGATTGAGGGCCCATCCATTCCAGTCTGATCTCATCCTAACGAATTACATCTGTAACAACCCCCAGATCCAAACAGGGTCTCATTTCTAAGGTACTGAGAATGAAGATTTCAACGTATTTCTCTTGGAGACACAATTTAACCTCTTTCTCATGAGCACCCAGGGGAGGTCTGTGTGCAGGGACTCAGGATGAATATGAACTCTTTTTGTGTCTGGGGCCTCCAGTTATTCCAAACTTACTTAGCCCATACTTAGACCTTGGCAATTCATTAACAATTTAACTAATTTCATCTTATTCACTTGTATGGTGGCCCCCTCTTTCTCCGATGCTGTTAGAGGTGATAGATTTGTATCTTGTCTCTCCATAAGCAGGTTTCTTTTTGACATATAAGTTATTCTGTCGCCGTGAGACTTCAGCTCACTGATGGGCTCAAGAAAATGGTAGTATTCAGCTTTTATCACTGATAGCTTGAGAGTAACATTCTTTGCAGGGTTTTACATCTTCAGTGAAAGTAGAAGTCCTAAACTTTTGCTTTAGACTCACCTCCCTACCAACCTGCTCCTCCCTAAGCCTTTCCCATTTGGGGCAGTTTTCACCCACTTTTAAAAGTTAAAAGTACCTAGGAGCAATGTTTGATTTTGTATTCTTTATCTTCCCTATCATATTAAATCAATCAATGTGCCTCCACTGTTTTACATTCATAAGACACAAAATGAAAGATAAGGGGTGTGCTAAGACTTTAAAGTGTTGGAATCACAAAAGTGAATTGTGAGACAGATTATAGGAAAGTTATGGGGATGTCCAAGTTTTCCTCCATTTTAAATAGATGATGGAAGATGAAATGTAATTGTTTTTTATAACACACCATGAGTCATGCTTTTTAAGTTCAATTTTTTCATTATGTTCAAAATACATTCTGCATCTGATCACTTACCACCACTTGTTCTGCTGCCTCTCTGGACTAACCACCACAATCTTTTTTTTTTTTCCTGGTAGTCTTGGTGGTTTTTTTCCAGTGGGTTTTTTTTTTTTTTTCAGTAGTCTTAGTTTTTTTCAGTAGTCCTAGTGTTCTCCTTTGCATCTCCAATATCCCACCGGAATGCCTATATTCCACATGACAATATAAGTCAAATAGTTTAACCTTCCTGTTAATCTCTGTGAAGATTGTTCATGACCCTTGGTAAAAGTTACAAAGTCCTTACATTTTTTTTCCTCCCACTCTGTCTCCTACCATTAGTTCTTTATTCTCTCATTTGGTATTCTATTCCTCTTTGCTTTCTAAAAACATTACTCATGTTCTTGCCTTAGGTCTTGCATTGATTGTACATATTGCTAAGAATACTCCTTTTCCAGTTATTTATGTAGCCTTCTCTAAGCCACCCTATATAAAATAACTTTTCATATTGCATGGAGCACTGGGTGTTATACATAAACAATGAATTTTGGAACACTACATTAAAAACTAATGAGGTACTGTATGATGACAAACATCACATAATAAAAAATACAATAATTTAAAAAATAAATAAAATAAAACAACTTTTCTCTTACCCACTCCTTACCTTGCTCCATTTTTGTCACAACACTTTGGGAATATAGCATACTTCTGTTTCTTTCCTATCTCTCATTGAAATGTAAGCATTACAGGGATAGGGGCATGGCCTCAGCTTTATCCATTGTTTCTAGAAAGTCTGATATATGACAAGAGCTCTGAACCTATCTTTTGAGACTGAATGCACCGATGCTAAGAATCAATACTCAACCAAAGGCAAATATTACTTTCATAGAAGGGAATTCATGATATAAGAATTTAGCATTTTACCCAAAATTAATGATTATTTTTACAATTTTTACATTAGTGTAGAATAGCCAAATTTTATAAGGTTCACATTGGTGGAGAGAACAATTATTTCCCAGTATCTTAATCTATAAAGTTGCTGCTGTCACTCTACTGCACAATCGCTATACTCGATACACGGTTATTTTTTTTTTAAAGATTTTATTTATTTATTTGACAGAGACCATAAGTAGGCAGAGAGGCAGGCAGAGAGAGGAAGGGGAGCAGGCTCCCCACCAAGCAGAGAGCCCGATGCAGGGCTCGATTCCAGGACCCTGGGATCATGACCTGAGCTGAAGGCAGAGGCTTTAACCCACTGAGCCACCCAGGTGCCCGATACACGGTTATTTTTAACTGAAACTGGTGGTTAAGCAAGATTATTTTTTACTCTTTCTGCTGTTAGAATGTCCACCTGATGGTGATGCCATCACCAAATTATTAAGACTTTCATCCTTTCTTTTCTGAACTTAAGTTGCATTATGTGATGTAATTTCTTTGAAGCAATGTCATAAATCAAGCTTTATATAATATTTGAAAACATGTTCTGAATAGTTTCCAAAAGCAGGCTTAAGATTCTTACCATCACTCATATATTTTATTTTCAACATTTTTGCATTTACTTGCTGTTTTGCACAATCATGGGGAAAAAAACTACCCTAAACCATAGATCCAGAAACACAGAGATAAAAGCAATGTATATCAGATTTTATTTAATATTAATTTTAGTGTGTTACCTGAGTAGAATAATAGTACAATCTTTGCAGCAGATGGAATGTAAAAAATTCATGCACTTTTCAGACACTTCCGTTTGGTTACTTCTTTAGCAGTTTTCATTGAGCTTACTACATTTTCTGTAAGAAACTGATTTAATAGGTCCCTCTAGGTTGTTGTAATTATCTGTAAATAAATTATTAAGCCTTTCTTTTATTCAAGATGTCTTTCAGGCCTATAATTGTTGTGGTTCATTTTGCTTGATTATTTTTCATGGATACATGATGGAGCAGGACTCAAATCTATTATGTGTCATACAGTTTGTCTTTGGCTAGAAAAAAGAGGTTGTAAACATCCCCAATATATTTTGCTAAAGCCACATATTTCTTTCTTTCTTTCTTTCTTTCTTTCTTTCTTTCTTTCTTTCCTTCATCCTGTGCCATAATTGCTTTCTGAATATGCAGGTGATGGGTGGTAACAAAGCAATGTGTACTTGAAACTTCTTAATTACTTAAAGCCTACATCCCATTTGTTTTCTTGTAAACATCAACCCCATTATATTATTCTAAAATTTATTTTCTATTCTATGAATATTTCTTTGGGGAAATTCACACTGTTAACTACGCGGAATCCAAAAATCTCTCAGTAAGCAAGCAGAGCAGAGGCCTACCAAAATTCATTGTTATTCCAATGAGCTATAAAACTTTCAGTTTGAAAATGGTATCTATCTCAGGCTTGTTGACTATTTTGTTAGCTTTTCCTTTCCTAGAATCAGAACCATAAGAGAATATCTTTTTCAATGAATTTTGTAATATTTGTTGTTTTAAAATTTGATTAATGGAAAATAATGGTATTGAGGTAACTTTATTTTCTTCTAATATTTTTCTTCTTTATGCTCTTCATATTCTTTATTGCTTTGGATCAAAGTAATTTACTAAGAGTTTTGGACAAGATTTTGAAAATTTCCCTTCTCATGAAATTTTGGCATTTGATCCATCTTCATAGGTGTGAAAATTCATAAATGGGATGTCTTTAAAATAAGTTTTAGAGCCTAAATGGACTAAAAAAATTCTTAAAGGTTATTTTGATTAATGTGAGAAGTGCTCAAATTATTAGAATTATGACAAGAACTTATCTCTGTTTTTCTGCCAATTACTATTATTTAGATTTCTCATAAATATTGTTCAGTGTAGAACATGTTTTCCATAATGTTAGCTATTTCTGCATGAGTTATCTAGCACTCTTAAATTAGCTGTAAATATATTATTCTATTCGTTCTTGAAATATACTTAGAAGTTTGTAAATAATTATTCTT